GGATGCCGACGACGCTAACGACAAGCAGAACAGGACGAGCACAGGCGGCTACGTGTTCGTCTACGGAGGGGCCGCGGTCTCCTGGTCGAGCCAGCGCATCAGGTGCGCGACGGTGTCATCAACTGAGTCTGAGTTCGTGGTGGCCACCGAAGCCGGCAAGGAGGGACGCCACCTTTGCTTCCTCCTTGCAGAGTTCGGGCAGCTGGATGCCAGGAGTCCGGCCATCCTTCGGGTGGACAACAAGTCGGCCATCACCGTTACCGAGGGCATGAGGTTGACGGGCAACCTCAAGCACATGGAGCGACGACAGGCCTGGCTGCAGCACATGGTGAAGCGCGGGAAGTTTTCGCTGAAGTACATCCCGACCGCTAAGCAGCCGGCCGACTTCCTGACAAAGGCGCTGCACTATCCGGCCTTCAACCGGTGCTCCGTTGTAATCGGCCAAGCGCGTTTGGCCGACGTGGGCGATGATGACGACGATGTGCAGCAGTAGGTGCCATGCCTTCTTGCATGGCTGGTGCGGTGGACGACGTGCTGTGTGTTGGGTGCATATCGACGAGCTATTTTCCGAGGAGTACTACCGTGTGGGCTAGGAGCCCAAGCATGAACGCGGCAGGGGAGTGTCAACGGGAGTTATGGTTGGCCCGGTCCTCGCTTGGGCGGAGCCTACCTCGTGGTCGGGTGTGCGGGAAGTGCAGCCGACTTGCACGGGGCCACTGCAGAGCCACCGACTTCGGAAGGTTGACTTGGGAGGTCGACATGGCGTCGACTTGGTGACGCCGCCCGTCTAGGAGTGGCCAGCTGACAGATGTGCTGGTTGTCATGGAGCTGGTCGACTAGGAGTGTCGTCGACCTGGATCTGGTCGAGCAAGGGCGTGGTTGACAGGTGGTGGTCGTCGACCCAGACGGTTGACGGGCACGAAGAGGGGGGGCGCCGACTTGAGGATGCCGACTTGGGGAGTGGCCGACTTGGTGAAGACGGCTTGTGGTCGTCGACTTTGGTAGTTGACGAGCACATACAACTTCTGGTCAACTTTCCCCAAAGAAGTCGACGCCGACCTGGTGGTTTCCAGATCGACCAAGTTACCCGGGCGACGAAGTTCTACGGAGGCACGCGACAGTCGCCCAGGTGTTAGTGGCGAGGCCGATCTCGGTGTGGTATCCCGAGGTCAACGTGGCTGATCAGATGCAGTCGTCAGCGCTAGGTTGATTTGATGGAAAGCGCGTGAATCTGGAGAGTGTAACTCCACCGACTTCGGCGAGCCATTGCGTGCAGCTCACGTAGCCCAAAACTATGAGCAGGTACGCGTTGAAAAGGTCTTAATCTCTATTTTCCAGAATGGTAAAGCATGATTTCAACCAAGATCTAGGCTGATCGCTATCGCGATTTAAGTGTGACGGGGTATCCTGGCGGAATTACTTGGCAGCCATGGATTAGATCTAGGAATGGCTTGAGCAAGAGTTCAGATTTGAAAAGTGACGAGTTGTTCAAGCCCTACCAACCCAACCCTCGCCCTACAACAATCTCCAACAACCCAAAGTGCTAAACTAGCAACACCAAAGGTGTTGTAGTGAATAGCAAAGGTTTCTTGGTGCTTATTGGGTGCGAGATCAATTCCAGCCCGCAACAAGTCTAACCACCATATTTTGCCCAAACCCTTAGCCCACAACCAGCTAGAGCAAAATACCGCAACCACCTACACAAGCGGAGCGTATGGTGCAGAAACTCAAGCGAGGGCTCAGGGCGTATGGAGAGGCTCACAAGCGCGACTGGGATGAGGATCTGCACTGGGTTGCTGCGGGATATCAGTTCAGCAAGCAGGCGGCGCTGCGAGATGTGTCCCCGTATCATCTGCTGTACGGGAGAGAGCAATCTTGCCTATGGAAGCGCCCAAGGTGCTGACGGAAGTGGTGACAGCTGGGACACCACTGTGGGCAGCTCTGGCCAAGACCAGGGGAGACTACCTGCAAGCGCTTCTGCCGTCAGCGTTGGAGAATTTGCATGTGGCTCAGCTGCGAGATGCTCACAGGTACCAACAGAGGCTCGGGGGGCAGAGGCCGACATGCGGGGGGCGACTGCAGGAAGGATAGGAGGTGTACCGTAGGACTGCACGGCAGCACACGCTGGACCACGGCCTCAGCGAGGTACGCTGGAGGGTGGTGGAAGTCAGAGAGTCAGGAGTAGTCGTGTTGGAGAATCAGCAGGGGAGGAGGGTCCAGGACCACACCACAAACACGGCAAGGGCGAGGTCAAGGAGCTTGAATCGTCTGGACCAGAGCGAGCAGGAGCCTTAGTCTGTTCCAGAGGGGGCAAGTGAGGAATGGCAATGACGCACTATCACACAGCAGCCGGTATCTGGCGGATAAGAAGCTAGCCATGTCCCAGCAGCAGCAGCAAGGGAGGTTGGCTATTAGGGTAGCTTGGGGAGGCAAGAGGGCAGAGGCCTGCAGGCAGGGTGGCAGGAGTCAAGGAAGGGTGACAGCACCAGAGAATTTCCGACAAGGAGGACCGTAAGCTGGAGGAGGCAGTGAGTGGTCCAAAGAGGAGGAAAGGGGACCAAGGTTCCGAAGACCACTCACATGTGGGAAAAAACGTGGCAAAAGTGCATGCTGAGGCTCCTGCGGTTGCTACTGCGGAGACAACTACTTCAACATGAGCTAGACTTCAGGCTAGGCACGGGGCTTGAGTGATCTCTACGTTCGTTCCCTAGTCTTTTCCTTGTGCACACATTGCTAGCTAGTTCACGGGGAGAATTGGCAAGAGTTTTACTACGAAAACATGACAACAATGATAGCAACAACATTAGCATCACAGACTATATCAGAGCTAGATGGGCTGCTGGTCGACCTACAGCGCAGTATGGTTGACCGCGATCTATCGCAGCAGAGCTCCAGCATTGCAAAGTAGCGGTCCGCCAACGTTGCAAGTCCATGGTGTGCCAACGCTGCAGCAGGTCGGCTGCACAAAGTTGCACCCGCAGGTCAACGGTGCTCCTGCTTCGCAGGTGCGTGCAGCTGGTTGGCGCACCACTCCTTGTCACGTGCACAGCGCAGACGCCCGGCAGAGACAACGTCAGCGACTATGCCCACCAACCACGTCGCCCTCGGGATACCACCCCCATGGTCGGCCTCACAAAAGCCACCCCGACGACCTTCGCACACGTTGCCCAGGTATTCCGGTCGATCAGGCAACCACCCCTAGTCGTCCAGCCCAGCCGGTCGCCAGCTACGCTAGACCGATGTCCCCGAGGAGGTGTCCCAGCACCCAGGTCGGTGTCCTGACGCCTAGGTCGAGAGGGATCTTGCGGCAATACAAGAAGCCGAAAGCGCTGAGGCAGAACCAGAAGGCATGATGGAGATGGAGATAGCTGTCACCTCTAATCGCATCTTAGGTACCGGAAATGAAAACCTCAGCATAAAGGAGCAGGAGCGACCAACACCGCACACCAAAACTCTTCACTAGATCCTGGAGCAAGTGAACACCACAACCTTTGACGATGAGAACCGTCCGCGCCCCTATCCCCACGATGTCTATCGTACCATCGACAAGGCGTGGAAAGATCCTGACGCACCTGAAGAGCTCAGCATAAAGGAGGAAGAAAAAAAGGTACAGGCCAAAAGGAAGAAAAAGCTATATCAAGAGCGCATCGTAGCAGGCTGGGACGAGGAGTCTGCACAACGCGGTGCATGGGGAGATGAGGACGGCACCGGAGCAACATGGGGATCCGCCAGTGGCGCATCCGGCACCGTTCAAGGATAAGGAACTGGCGGCTGGGGCAACTTAGAAGGAAGAACACTTGCCGAAGGTGACCTCAGTCAAAAGAAATATATATATATAGAGGGGGAGAGAGAGAGAGAGAGAGAGAGAGAGAGAGAGAGAGAGAGAGAGAGAGAGAGAGAGAGAGAGAGAGAGAGAGAGAGAGAGAGAGAGAGAGACATGGTTTAGGACTAGTCCTTAGCCGTTTTCCCAGCCCTCTCTAGTGTAGGATCCAGTCCTTAGCCGTTTTTCAGCCTAGTACCCTAGTATATAGTTCCTAGATGCTCCCTTCTGAGCTCATTCTTCACTGGTGAGTTCAGTTTACTCTCCAAAACCGGCGGCTCGCGCCGAGAGAGCGAGAGAGAGAGAGAGAGAGAGAGAGAGAGAGAGAGAGAGAGAGAGAGAGAGAGAGAGAGAGAGAGAGAGAGAGAGAGAGAGAGAGAGAGAGAGAGACATGGTTTAGGACTAGTCCTTAGCCGTTTTCCCAGCCCTCTCTAGTGTAGGATCCAGTCCTTAGCCGTTTTTCAGCCTAGTACCCTAGTATATAGTTCCTAGATGCTCCCTTCTGAGCTCATTCTTCACTGGTGAGTTCAGTTTACTCTCCAAAACCGGCGGCTCACGCCGGCCGCCTTCGGCGGCCGCCGCTCGCCAGCGCGGCCTTCGGCCGCGCGTGAGGGGAGGCAAGGAACAAGGAGAGCGGGGACTTTAGCAGCAAGCGATACAACATGCAGGGGTAGCTTCCTACAACAAATGCACCACCCCCAGGCGTGCATACACCGCCATGGGGAAGCCCAAGGCCAGGCCCGCCTCACAGGGGGCTGGCAAGGGGAAGCAACCCCCTACTCAACCAGGACCCAGCAAAGCCGACCGTCCAACCAGCGCAGGACGGATGCGGCAGCGGCTACAAGGTCGAGCGGGTCCTCCTGGGCAGACTCGGCAAGCCGCGCCAAAGCACCAGGACCGGGCCCAAGGGCAGCTCCGGGGGAGCCCGGTACAAAGCCAATCAGCGGGAGGTAATGCTTCAACTCCTCCGCTGCCGCCACCGCCGCCGTTTGCTCTGCTGGCTGCATCGCCCCGATCTTCACCTCCTGCTGCACCAGGGACATGTGAAGCTGGTCAAGCACATACGACAGGAGTGTCAAGCAAGTCCCCACGTGCATCACGCGTTGCTCGACGAGGGTTGGGGGCCCACCAGGCACCACGGCAGGAGGAGGAGGTGGTACGGGAGGTGTCAACGGCTGCCATGGGCGCTGCACAGGGGGGCTGCCATACAAGTACCGATGGAACGACGGCGGAGACGGTACTGCCTGGGGGTTCTGAGCAGGCAGGAGCAGCGACGGGGGAGCATGTGACACCGAGGGACGCAGCTGATGCGGACGGAGGGGTAGGGGAAAACGACGAAGCGGAGATTGTGTCGGCAGCTGCGACGGGGAAGCCTGTGGTGGCTGATGCTGACGGGCCTGTAGTGGGGACCGCGGCAGACCCTGCGCCTGCCGGCGGTTCTGCCGCTGCCGTTGACGGCGGCTCAGCTTCACCCGCTGCCACCCCTCGGGCTGCACAGGCAGAGGCTGAGGAGATGAGGCCGGGCGCGGCCCCTGAGCAGTCCGCTGAGGTGGCGTTGTCTGCGTCGCCTGCGCCGGTAACGGCGGCGGCACTGGCGGCGGCGGTGTCCGCGGCGATTGGGGAACACGGCGACGCCCCGGCGGAGGAAGGCGCGACGACTGCCGCGGCTTGCGCCGGAACGCCTGTTGCTGTCGTGGCCGTAAGCAGGCAGGAGCACGGCCAGGCGGAGGGAGAGGCTCCGGGACCCGCAAGCGGCGCTTCTTCCGGCGCTGCACGTTCGAGGTCGAAGACAATGCTGCGGGCCCAGCCAGCACCGAGACGGCCCGGAGCAGGGCTGGGACCTGGCTCCCCGGGACCCCTCCTGGGCTGGCTTGTGCAAGGGCAATCGCCATCAGAGCGAGTGCATCGGTCGTCATCGTCGAACCTGCAGGAGGTGCGCGAGGTGGCCGATCCTGGAAGCTGCCAGCCAGGAATCACCCGGGGTGCTCCTGCACCCAACGCGACACCAACGACGACAGCGCACGCTGTGGCGCCCAACACAACGAACGCCGTCGCGAACAACACCCGCCGCGCGACACGACGAACGGCAATAACCTGGGGACCGCCCCGGGGAGGCCGGACACCGTGGTTACCAGCGGGACGTGGTGCGATGGGCGGGGGGACGAGAGCGCCAACAGGCGGGGGGCGGACTCAGCGGGGGTTCGGTGCACGGGGAGCGCGCGGAGGACGTGGGGGAAGGGCACTGGTGGGGGGGTCTGAGATCCCCGCGCGTACTGGCACCTGGCGGGAACGCCACGACAGGCCAGGAGCGGTGGAAGTACCAACGAATGAGGGACAGCCAGCAGGCTCTGACGTTAACGCCAGCGACCCAGAGTTTATGTGTGGTGAAGAAGCTGATTCTGAGGAGGTGTCACTGGAAGAGGAAACTGGGGTGGCCAGAAATGCCCCAAACTCGTGGAACTGGGAACTGGGATGACCTTTTCGAGGAAGCCGGAACCGTCCCCGATACAGACGCCCCGCTACGACACCAACCTGACGACGAAGGGGTTTGTGCACGCGCCGAAGGACTAAAGAAGAAGGGGAATATCTCGAAGGCAGTTGCTGCGTTACGCTCCAGCCCACTCGCTGAGCCTAGTTCGTCAACCCTCGCTGCACTCCAGGCGAAACACCCACCTGCCGAAGACGACATCCCGGCCTGGGTAACAGGAATAGCAACTTCTGAACTCGCCGTCCAGGTTGACACTCTCCGCGAAATCCTGGCGAAATGCCCGAATGGAGTGGGTGGGGGGCCCTCTGGAACATGTTTCGAGCACCTAAGGGGTCCAGCTCTAGCCAACGAGGAGATCTTAATCCTACTCGCCAGGACAGCCAACACACTCCTTAGCACATTCCAGTCCCAGGAGCTGCGCGACCTCATCCTAACCTCACGCCTGATAGCCTTAGAGAAACCAGGGGGTGGGGTCAGGCCTATCGCGATAGGCGAAACATTACTCCGGGTAGTAGCGAAAGCGGCTCTTCACTCTCTTGGCCCTAAGATCAGAGAGTTCTTTCTTCCGGTCCAGTTCGGAGTGGCTATCCCGGGAGGAGCGGAATGTATTATCCACTCCGTCAGGGCGCTACTTCAGGAGGACGAAGCACGGATTGCGCTGCAGCTAGACGTAGAGAACGCGTTCAACAGCGTTGAACGCAAAGCATTTTTCGAAGCCCTTCAGTGGTCCGCCCTTAGCCCACTCCTCCCCCTGGTCCGAAACCTCTACGATGGCCCGTCGCGGCTACTAGTCGACCAACGCTTCGGCACAAACCACATCCTGAGCTCCCGCGGAGTCCGCCAGGGAGATCCGCTCGGCCCGCTTCTGTTCGCAGCTGCGATCCAGCCAGCCCTGCTAAGCGTGGCCACTACACTGCCAGAGGTGGCGATTGTTGCCTACGCAGACGACATCACGATCGTCGGCCCACGGGAGGCTGCCTGCACCGCCTTCAACACGGTCGCCTCGGCTCTGAAAGCGGTGGGACTGCGCTGCAACATAAACAAATCATCAGCGTGGGGACGGAACACGGGCGGGCAGCAGGAGGAGCTGCCACTCGGGCTGACCATGAACCAGGGAGGAATCAGAGTGCTGGGCAGTCCAGTGGGGAACGAGGGCTTCTGCACTGACCACGTGCGGTCGGCACTGGGAGAAGCGGCGTCGCCACTCCTCCTCATCTCGCAACTAAACCCGCAGCATGCGCTTCTCATGGTCTCGCGCAGCATCTCTCGGCGGATCTCATATATGCTTCGGACGACTCCGGCATCAACACTAAGCACGCGAGAGTGGAGGGAGTGGAGCGAGGCTCTCCTGGGCTCGGCACTCACTGCGGCGAAACTTCGGATCCCCTCCTCCGAGCTTGAACAGAGCCTGCTGTGGCGTCAGGGAACACTCCCTATCCGCCTAGGTGGCCTCGGAGTGATTGACCCTATCTCTGAAGCACCCGCTGCCTACCTGGCTTCAGTCGCGGCAGCACACACCCTACTGAGGCAACTGGACCTGCCAACTGACTGCCTCCTGAGCCGAGCGACTCAGCTCCTCTCCCACGATTGGGTCCCACCGCCACCAGAGTCCAACCCCAGAGCCACTATGGAAGGTTCGCTCCCTGCTGAAGCCCGAGCAACACTGAAGCAGTACAGGGAGGGGAGTCCAGGCACAGGGAACCTGCAGCTGGGGCTGTCGTAGTCTATCAACCAGCGGCGGGCCTTGGAGCTACTAGCGGACACCCTACAGGACCGGCCGGGGGAGGACAGGGGTCATGCCATCCGCCTCATCAGCCTAAAGGGGGTGGGTGCAGGTGACTGGCTCCATGCCATGCCAACAAGAGGAGACCTTAGCATATCCCCTGGTCAATTCTCGATGGCCCTCGGCCTGCGTTTGGGCATGGAGCTGCCGGTCGCCGAGGTGTGCCCTTGCAAGCGGGATAACTCGACCATCTCCGACAAGAGCCTCCCCAACCACCTCCTGCGGTGTGGGGATGGTGGTGACGTTGTAAGGACCCACAACGCTCTGGTCTTTGCAGCACTCCGAATGGCCAAGGATGCAGGTTACAAGACGTTCCATGAGACCACGGCATTCTCTCCCCCGGTCCTCCGGAAGCGAGCAGACCTGGCCATTCGGGACCAGGAGTCGGGGGAGACGTGGGTAACCGATGTCACAGTTACACACCCCGTTCTGCAGAAGCGGGATAAAAGAGCCAGGAAGCCGCCGGGGTGGGCAGCAGAGGAGGCCTCCGAGGGTAAACACAGGCTCTACGAGGGCCGCCCTAGCTATGCCAGCTTCTTTGGGCTAGCGGTAGAGACATACGGTGCCCTGGCTAAGGACACGCAACAGTTCATCCGCATGCTAGCCACCTCTGCCGCCAGGACGAAATACAGGAAGGGACGCCTCACGACGACCGCCGCCCGCCTCAATGCACACTTCAGGCAACGGTGGTCCGTGGTGCTCCAGCGCAGCTTAGCGATCTCCCTCCTGTCAAAGTCAAACCGAGCAGCGGAAGCGGCTTTCCCACACGCAGCGGCGGACCCTTGGGCACCTCGGCTAGGTGACCTATGGCAGACCCTGGAGGACGAGTACGAAGAGAGACACGCCCCTACCAGGGCGGCCTGAGGGGTTGAGGGTGCTGGGAAGGTAGGAAGTTGATGACGGGAGGAGGGGGGGCGGCAGGGGAGGGGTACATGTGTGCGGTAAGAAGCAGGGGGGGTTGTGCTGGGTCGGGGAGGGCGCCTCAGGGAAGGTGTGAGGAAGCTGCGGGGGTGAAGAGGGATAAGGTGTGGCCCTAGGGTATATGAGGAATAAGGGATAGGTGGAATGTGGGGTACTCAGGTACCTGCGCTGCTGTGGACCGGGCTGCTCTGAGTGCTAGGGGATCTGTATGCTTCAGCTGGGCAGGCTTGCTCTGTTTGTCTGTTAGTTCTGGTTCCCTGGTTGCTTCCATGTTTAGTCAAGGCAGTTACCACCACTTACCATGCCTGTACCTTTATGACCCATATAAATGCATGACTGCTTGAGAGAGAGAGAGAGAGAGAGAAGTTCCCCTCGTGCCTAGGTGCGTGGAAGATTCTTCTCTTCCTACCGAGGCTTACACTACGACCCTCTCCCGAACCAGTTGTTGGGAGCCGCTGGGCTCGAATTGAGGCTCGGCTGCACCAATTTCAGCAGGGGAAATGGGAGGGACTTTTCGAGGAAGCTGGCATTATCCCCGATGCCGAAGCCCCGCTACGACACCAACCGGACGACGAAGGTGTTTGTGCACGTGCCGAAGGGCTAATGAAAAAGGGCAATATCTCGAAGGCGGTTGCTGCGTTACACACCAGCCCACTCGCGGAACCCAGTTCGGCAACCCTCGCTGCACTCCGGGCGAAACACCCACATGCCGAAGACGATCTCCCAGCCTGGGTAACAGGGGTAGCAATTTCTGAGCTCGCCATCCAGATCGACGCACTTCGCGAAATCCTGGCGAAGTGCCCGAATGGGGTGGGTGGGGGGCCCTCTAGAACGTGCTTCGAGCACCTCAGAGATCCTGCTCTCGCAAATGAGGAGATATTTATTCTACTCGCCAAGACAGTTAACAATTTCCTTAGCACTTACCAGTCACTGGAGCTGCACGACCTTGCCCTATCCTCACGCCTGATAGCTTTGGAGAAACCGGGGGGTGGGGTCAGGCCTATCGCGATTGGCGAAACATTGCTCAGAGTAGTAGCGAAAGCAGCTCTACACTCGCTCGGCCCCAAGATCCGTGAGTTCTTTCTCCCGGTCCAATTCGGCGTGGCCATCCCGGGGGGAGCGGAGTGCATCATACACTCAGTTAGAGCGCTACTACAGGAGGACGTCTCGCGGATCGCGCTGCAGCTGGACGTAGAGAACGCGTTCAACAGCGTCGAACGCAAGGCTTTCTTCGAGGCGCTGCAATGGTCTAACCTCAACCCCCTACTCCCCCTGGTCCGAAACCTCTACGATGGCCCGTCGAGGCTCCTGGTCAACCAGCGTTTTGACACTGAGTACATCTTGAGCTCCCGCGGAGTTCGCCAAGGCGATCCACTCGGCCCGCTCCTGTTCGCGGCGGCGATCCAGCCAGCACTGCTGAGTGTGGCCACTACTCTGCCGGATGTGGCGATCGTTGCCTACGCCGACGACATTACGATTGTCGGCCCGCGTGAAGCCGCCTGCCTCGCCTTCGACACGATCGCTGCGGCTTTGGGAAAAGCAGGACTGCGATGCAACATTGCCAAATCAACGGCCTGGGGGAGGAACGCGAGCGAGCAGCAGGAGAAGTTGCCGCTTGGGCTGACCTCGAACCCGGGAGGAATCAAGGTGTTGGGCAGCCCAGTTGGGACTGACGCCTTCTGCACGGACCACGTACGGGCGGCGCTGGGGGAGGCGGCATCACCGCTCCTCCTCATTTCACAACTGAACCCGCAGCACGCGCTCCTTATGGTCTCACGCAGCATCTCACGGCGGATCTCGTACATGCTCCGGACGACCCCGGCTTCAACACTAAGTGCGCGAGAATGGAGGGAGTGGAGTGAGGCTCTCCTGGGCTCGGCGCTCACCGCGGCGAAACTACGGATCCCCACCTCCGAGCTTGAGCAGAGCCTGCTGTGGCGTCAGGGGACACTCCCCATCCGCCTGGGTGGCCTCGGGGTGATCGACCCTATCTCTGAGGCACCCGCGGCATACCTGGCTTCAGTCACGGCGGCACACATCCTACTGAGGCAGCTGAACCTGCCAACGGACTGCCTCCTGAGCTGGGCGACACAGCTCCTCTCCCACGAGTGGGCCCCACTACCACCTGAGACCAACCCCAGAGCCACGATGGAGGGTAACCTCCCTGCTGAAGCCCGAGCAACACTAGAGCAGTACAGGGCAGGGGGTCTGGGCACTGGGAACCTGCAGCTGGGGCTGTCCAAGTCTATCAACCAGCGGCGGGCGTCGGAACTCCTAGCAGACACACTTCAGGACCGGCCGGGGGAGGACAGGGGCCACGCCATCCGCCTCATCAGCCTCAAGGGGGTGGGTGCGGGTGACTGGCTCCATGCCATCCCAACGAGAGGAGACCTTAGCTTATCCCCTGGTCAATTCTCGATGGCCTTGGGCCTGCGGCTGGGCATGGAGCTGCCGGTCGCCGAGGTGTGTCCGTGCAAGCGGGAAAATGCGACGATTGCCGATAAGAGCCTCCCCAATCACCTCCTGCGGTGTGGGGATGGCGGGGACGTCGTAAGGACCCACCACGCCCTGGTTTTCGCGGCTCTCAGGATGGCCAGGGACGCGGGTTACAAAACGTTCCATGAGACCACGGCTTTCTCTCCCCCCGTCCTCCGAAAGCGTGCAGACCTGGCCATCCGAGACCAGGAGTCAGGGGAAACGTGGGTGACGGATGTCACGGTCACGGATCCGGTGTTGCAGAGGCGGGACAAGAGAGCCAGGAAGCCGCCTGGGTGGGCAGCGGAGGAAGCTTCCGAGGGAAAGCACAGGCTCTACGAGGGCCGCCCTAGCTACGCTGGGTTTTTTGGGCTGGCGGTAGAGACGTATGGGGCTCTGGCTAAGGACACGCAGCAGTTCATCCGTATGCTAGCCACCCATGCCGCCAAGACGAAATACAGGAAGGGACGCCTCACGACGACCGCCGCCCGACTCAATGCACACTTCAGGCAACGGTGGTCCGTGGTGCTCCAGCGCAGCCAGGCGATCTCCATCCTTTCCAAGTCAAACCGTGCAGCGGAAGCGGCTTTCCCACAGGCAGCGGCGGACCCTTGGGCACCTCGGCTAGGTGACCTATGGCAGACCTTGGAGGACGAGTACGATGAGAGACACGCCCCTGTCAGGGCGGCCTGAGGGGTTGAGGGTGCCAGGGAGAGAGGAACATGGTGACAGGAGGAGGAGGGGTGGCGGCAGGGGAGGGGTACATGGGTGCGGTGAGAAGCAGAGGGGGGTGTGCTGGGTTAGTGTGGGTCAGAGGGAACAGGGATAAGGAAGGGCGTCTCAGGGAAGGTGCGAGGAATCGGCGGGTCGGAGGGGGATAAGGGGAGGCTGTGTGGTACGGGAGGGGAATAGCGGAAGAAACACGGTTCCCATGGTCTTGAGCCACTGGGGATCGGGCTGCTCTGACAGTTAGGGGTGCTCTAGGTTGGATGGGCTTGCCCTGTTTGCTTGTTTAGTTCTGGCCCCCTGGCTGCTCCAATACCTAGGCTACCTAGTTACCACCACCTGCCCTGCCTGTACCTTGTGACCCATTTAAATGCATGACCGCTTGAGAGAGAGAGAGAGAGAGAGAGAGAGAGAGAGAGAGAGAGAGAGAGAGAGAGAGAGAGAGAGAGAGAGAGAGAGAGAGAGAGATGGCATAGCTTAGTCCTTCGCCATTTCTAGGCCCCTCTTCTCTAGGATCTAGTCCTTATCCATTTCTAGGCATGTTTCCTTAGTATAAAGGCCCTGGATCTAGGCTAGTGAGCTCATTATTCACTGGTGAGTTAGGATCACTCTCCAAATCCGGCGGCTCATTCGAGAGAGAGCGAGAGAGAGAGAGAGAGAGAGAGAGAGAGAGAGAGAGAGAGAGAGAGAGAGAGAGAGAGAGAGAGAGAGAGAGAGAGAGAGAGAGAGAGAGAGAGAGAGAGAGCTGGCGGGACTGCCGGCGCCGCCCGCGGGAAGACGACGCTTCGAGCCCAGCCAGCACCGAGGCGGCCCGGAGCAGGGCTGGGACTTGGTCCCCCGGACCCCTCCTGGGCTGGCTTCTGCAAGGGCAGTTGCCACAAGGGCAAGAGCGTCACTTGCCATCTGTGGGGACACGCGACGGGAGAAGGGAAGCAAGAGACAAGATCAGGCTAGCACCCACACCGATCATCACGATAGGGAACGCAGTGGCGGGACCATCAATGCAACAACCACCGCGTCTGGATTCGCGGAACTCGACGGGGGGAGAGGAGAGAACAACCACGGCTGCCGCCACGGCTCAACAGACCCCACGGCGTGAAACCCGCAGTGCTACGAGGGCGCAAGGCATCACCTGGGGCCAGCCAAGGGCTGGCCAGGCACGCCGATGCTGGCGCCGTGGATCCCGGCGGGAAGACCGCAACAGGCAGGCCGAGGCGAGCAGAACGCCGGCCCTAGGGGGGGAGAAACGGCTCGCGGAGCAAGGGGAGGAGTGCGAGGGGCCAGAGGGGGACAGGGCGGAAGAGGCCCAATTGTCGGCGGAAGGGTCGCGCTCGTGGGAACGGGAACGTGGCGGGAACGCCACGAGCGACCGGAGCAAGCGGAGCCTGCAACGAATCACGACGAAGAAGATGATGCAAACACTGACGAGGGGGGCAATTATGTAGCTGAATCAGCGGAGCCATCAGAGGAAATCTCGTTGGAGGACGAGGAGGGAGTACACATGATGAGAAGAGCTGGGGAGCGAAGGAGAACCCAGAACAATGGGGTAAACCCCCAGGGCGATAACCCTCAGGGTACGAGAATTGGGAACGAGGAAGCGCCAGGAGTAAGGGGAAACCCTCAGGTGGTGGGAGAAAATGGGGACGCACCCAACGAGGGACAGAGTGACTCTGGGGTCAGATCACCGTCTGACCTGGCGGATGATTCTGCCATCTGAGAGCTGGCAGCCACGTGGGATAAATACCCACTCCAAAAAGGGGATCAACCCTTCGTGGTCCGCAGAATGCCGCCCAAGATCCTGGAAAGCTACACGCTCTGTCTCCTGGCGCCCCTCATTCCACTCTCGAAGAATCCTGACTGCCCAGGGGCATGGGCGATCCTGCAGTATCTGCCGAGGCTGACGCTATGCCCGGCCTCTGAACCTGTTGAAGGCAGCCGGTGGACAGCAATAGAGCTGCGCCTGCACCAGTTCCAACTCGGTAGCTGGCAGGCCCTCTACACCGACGCATGTGTTATCCCCGACAATGAGAGCCCGACACGACACCAACCGGATGATGCAGGTTTATGCGCAAGGGCAGAAGGGTTGATACGGAAAGGAAACATTTCCAAGGCGGTAGCAGCGTTACGAACTACACCGCTCGCAGAAGCAACGGCAGCAACTTTGACTGCCCTCCAAGCGAAACACCCCGCAGCCGAAACTTCGCTACCGGGCCTGGTTACAGGGTTCAACCGCTCGACCCTCAGCGTGTCAGCGGACGAACTTCGCGAAATCCTGAAGAAATGCCCGAACGGGGTTGGAGCAGGCCCATCTGGCACCTGCTTCGAACACCTCAAGGATCCGGCACTGGCAAACGGGGAGGTGCTTATTCTACTCGCTAAGGTAGTGACGTACCTGCTGAGCACGTTCCAAACACAGGCGACCCGCGATTTGCTGCTGCCTTCACGGTTGATCGCCCTAGAAAAGCCAAGAGGAGGAGTCCGGCCTATTGCGATAGGGGAGGCTATCCTTCGAGTCGTAGCTAAGGCGGCATTGCGTGGTTTAACCGAGAACATTAAGGAGTTTTTCCTACCAGTCCAGTTTGGGATAGCGATACCGGGAGGCGCAGAGTGTATCGTCCACTCCGTCAGATCGCTACTAAGGGACGATGACACACGAGTAGCGCTGCAGCTGGACATAGAAAACGCCTTCAACAGTGTCGAACGGGCGGCTTTCTTCAACGCTCTCTCCCAGTCCAGTTTGCTGCAGCTCATGCCCCTGGCTCGAACTCTCTACGGGGCACCGTCGTCACTCTTGGTTGACGAACGTTTAGGAGTGAACCATATCCTCTCGTCACGCGGGGTGCGTCAAGGGGACCCGCTCGGTCCACTACTCTTCGCGGCAGCAATTCAACCATGCCTGCTAAGCACGGCGACCTTCTTACCGGAAGTCGCGATAGTGGCCTACGCCGACGACATAACGATAGTGGGGCCGAAGGAGGCCTGCTATGAGGCCTTTGGGGCCATTACCAGGGAGCTGGCAATGCTCGGCCTCCGTTGCAACATCGCAAAATCGTCGGCATGGGGACAATCGCTAGCGGATGACGGCGGCACGCCACCTCCCATCGGCCTGCAGCAGATCATAGATGGGATCCGGGTTCTAGGCAGCCCAGTCGGCTTGCCTGCCTTCTGCACCACCCAAGCACAAACACGGCTTGATGAGGCGTCGGCCCCGTTACCCCTGGTGGTGCAGCTCCACCCGCAGAGCGCAATGCTCATCCTCACGAGGAGCATATCCCGCCGAATCTCCTACTTTCTGCGGACGACACCGGCGGAAGTCATGGGGAGAGAGGAGTGGAGGGGCTGGAGTGAGACCCTGATGGCAACGGCACTAGCAGCAGCGAAGCTTCGAGTACCTTCAGACGAGCTGGAGAGGAGTCTGTTGTGGCGCCAGGGGAGTCTGCCGGTCAGGTTGGGAGGCTTGGGGATTATTGACCCAGTCTCTGAGGCACCTGCGGCCTACATCGCCTCGGTCGCGGCGGCGCAGCAATTGCTGCGCCAGATGAACCTGCCTGAGGCCTATCTCCTGAGCAGGGCGGTCGAGCTGCTGTGCCACGATTGGACCCCTGTCCCACCCGGCATCAACCCCCTGACAACTCTGGAAGTTGGGCTACCCATAGCTGCACGGGCGGCACTACACACTTACAGGGAGCAGCCGGCGGGACAGGGGAACCTTCAACTGACCCCGTCTCGCCACATCAATGAGACGAGGGCGGTGGAGCTGCTGGCTGACACAATAGAAGACCGCCCAGGGAAGGACCGTGGGCACGCAGTACGGCTCATCAGTTTGCAAAGGGTGGGCGCGGGGGACTGGCTCCATGCCGTCCCAACGAGATCTGACCTTACTTTCGCCCCTGGTCAGTTCTCGTTGGCACTTGGCTTTCGCCTCGGAATGGCTCTTCCAGTCACAGTCACCTGCCCGTGCAAGCGCGCCAACACTGCAATCACGGACACGAGCCTGGCAAACCACCTCTTGCGGTGTGGGTACGGGGGAGATGTCGTCCGCACACACAATGCTCTAGTGTTTACTCTGCTCCGGATGGCGAAGGAGGCCGACTTCACGGTTTTCCACGAAACCACTGCCTTTTCCCCACCGGTGTTGAGGAAGAGAGGAGACCTTGCTATTCGGGACAAGGAGTCGAATGAGACTTGGGTCACAGACGTGACAGTGACCGACCCAGTGCTGCAGTGCCGTGACAAGCGCGCCCGGAAGCCACCTGGATGGGCGGCAAGAGAAGCTTCAGAGAGGAAACACAGGATCTATGAGGGGCGGCCTGACTACGTGGGTTTCTTCGGGTTGGTAGTGGAAACATACGGTGCCCTAGCTACGGATACACAGCAGTTCATCCGCTTGTTAGCAACCTCGACGGCGAAGACAAGGTTCCGCTAGGGGAGGCTCACCACCACCACTGCTCGGCTCATCGCTCACTATAGGCAGCGCTTCAGCGTCATGCTCCAGCGCTCACAGGCCTCGTCATTCCTCAACAAGTCGAACATAGGGGACGTGGTAGCCTTCTCACAGGCGGCCAGGGACCCCTGGGAACCTAGCCTAGGGGATCTCTGGCAAGTCCTGGAGGATGAGATGGACGGGGTAATGGGTCAGTGAGCGGGATAGCAATTGCATGGATGTCTAGCTGAGTGTTAGCCAAATGCATTTCCGGCTCCTGCCTTGTTGGCTTGCCCTGCCTTGCCTTGCTCGGGTTGGCCTTGCCTTGTGTGCCTGTTGTGTGTGTTTTGCATCCCCTCCCTTGCCCTCAAGGTCCTGACCTACTGGCACAGAGGACTTGCTCGCCTGGCCACCCGTGGTGCCTACCTCAGCCCTGCCAAGCATTACCGGCTGCTCTTAGTACTAGGGATGTTCTGCACCTGTTCTTGCCATGCATGTACCCCTATGAACCTATCAATGAAGGACTGCTTGAGAGAGAGAGAGAGAGAGAGAGAGAGAGAGAGAGAGAGAGAGAGAGAGAGAGAGAGAGAGAGAGAGAGAGAGAGAGAGAGAGAGAGAGAGATGGCATAGCTTAGTCCTTCGCCATTTCTAGGCCCCTATTCTCTAGGATCTAGTCCTTAGCCATTTCTAGGCTTGTTTCCTTAGTATAAAGGCCCTGGATCTAGGCTAGTGAGCTCATTATTCACTGGTGAGTTAGGATCACTCTCCAAATCCGACGGCTCGCGCCAGCCGCCTTCGGCGGCCGCGCGTGAGGGGTGGCAAGGGTAGCAGAAACACAAGTCCTATAGCAGCATGTGGTACATCAAGAGCCACTAATAGGGCAGAACAACAACACCACCCCCAGGCGAGGGAATTTCGCCATGGGGAAGCCCAAGGCAAGGCCCAGCACCACCGGAGCCTCGAAGGGAAAAACAACAGTCACTCGGCGAGGATCCAGCACAGCCTCCCGTCCATCCAACGAAGGACGGAAGCGAGAGCTGACACAAGGCCGAGGGGGCCCTCCTGGGCAGACTCAACTAGCCTCACCATTGCCCGGGGTCCGGGCCCGAACACTGCACCAGGGGTGCCCGGTGTTGAAATGAACGAACAGGAATGATTGAACTAACAGTGAAAACAGTACAAATACCTAACCCTAGAATTGTGTACCCCCTATAGGCTAACCCACTGTAGCCTAAACAAGCACAACAACATATATAATGTTTGACACCCGGCACAAGGCCGATCAAGGGAAGATAGTGCAGCATCTCCGTCGCTGCAGCCACCGCCGCAGAGCGCTCAGCGGGCAACATCCCGTCAACCTTCAAGCCTTGTCGTGACAAACACACGTGGAGCTGGTCCAGTACGTACGACAGCAACGTCAAACACGTCCCCACGTGCACAACGCGCTGCTCGACGAGAGGAGGCAGCGCGCCTGCAGGAGCGGCAGCAAGAGGAGCAGGCGAGACAAGAGGGTTTGGCGGCGCAGGAGGAGCCGGCGGCTGACGCAGTTGAGGCCGGGGCAGAGGAAACTGATTTACGGGGGGATGTCGCTGCTGCGGGGTCACGTTTGACGCGGCGGAGGGGGCAGGGTGCTGCAGCAGAGGCGGATCCGACGGGGACGGGGCGGGAGGCGCACTCGCCTGCTGCTGTGCCTGCAGCCGCCTCTGACGACGACTCAACCGCGCCCGCTGCGGGGCCGACGGCGCCACCAGCGGACGAGGTTGTGGCTGCGGAGGAGGCGCATGTGGAGCATGGGTCGACTGATTCACCGGTGCCATTGGTGGCGGTGTCCTCGTCACCTCTCGGGGAGGTGGAGATTGCGGCGGTCGTAGCTGAGGCAGCGAGGCAACCAGAACAACCCCCGAACGAACCGTTTGCGCCGACTGCCGCTGAGTCCGCCGGAATGTCTGCTGCTGCCACGGCCGTAAACATGCGGGAGCGCGGCCAGGCGGCGGATGGAATTGAGGGTCCCGTGATCGGCGCCGCTTTGGCGCCGCACCGGCAAGGAAGAAGGTGAAGCTGCGCGCCCAGCCAGCGCCGAGGCGACCCGGAGCAGGGCTGGGACCTAGGGTACCGGGACCCCTCCTGGGCTGGCTTCGTCAAGGGCAGTCGCCACCAGAGCAAGCGCGTTTGTTGTCATCCGCACCACAGCCTGCAATGGGAACCGGCGGGAAGGGTAACACGGAGGCAGCTAGCGTGCACATCGGGGAACCGAGCAGCCAAGCAGGATGCAGCAACCAACGAAAGGATCACCCACGACCCAGCAAGCAACTCACTGGGAAACACGGAGCTCGACGAGAGGCCGGGGAATTGTGTGGGGCAGGCCGTCGGGGGCAGGTTGAGCGACAATGGCGACTCCCTGGGTGCCGGCCGGTCGCGGTTTAAGGCCTGCGCAGGAGAGCGCGAGAGGCGGCAGCGCTGGCGTACTCCCCGCGATCCCCCGTGGAGGCAGAGGGGGAAGAGGAGGGACACGCGGGAGGGGAGTTCCACTCCTTGGTGGCGAGGCTGCAATCGTGAGATCAGGCACGTGGCGTGATCGCCACAACCGCCCGGAGCGTGTACCTACGCCTGTGTGTGTGAATGGGGGCGAGGAGGGGTCTGAAAACTCCCAGAACGGGAGCGAGTTTATCCCCTCGCAGTCAGAGGCATCGGAGGATTTGGTCTCTCTGGGCGACGATGAGAACCAACATGTGTCAGCGCAGGGGCGAGTGAGGAGGACGGAGCAGGGTGGCATGCCACAACCACCCAACATGCCAGCAGGACAGGCCCCAGCTGTGCCACCACAGCCATCCGAGAAATCGCTAGCTGACCTGGCAAAGGATGAGTCTTTCTGGCACCTGGCCAGCACTTGGGACATTGCACTACTCCAGCGTGCGGATCAACCGTTCCTGGTGAGGCGGTTGCCCCTAAAAGATTCTGGAGAGCTACAACCTGTGCCTTCGGGCCCCGCTATTGCGATTGGCCGAGAAACCAGACTTTGTGGGGGCGTGGACGGTGCTGCAATTTTTACCTCGACCCTTCGACCTCTACCAGAGCCGGTGGACGGGAACCGCTGGATCAAGATTGAGACTCGGCTGCACCACTTCAGGATCGGGGATCTTGCCGATCTCTACAGTGAGGCATGCACGATCCCCGCTACTGAAGACCCGTCACGACACCAGCCAGACGAGGCAGGCCTGTGCGCGCGAGCAGAAGGCTTGATAAAGAAGGCCAACATTTCCAAGGCAGTGTCTGCGTTACAAGTGACCCCGCTGGCGGAACCAACACCTGCTACACTTGCAGCTTTACAAGCGAAACACCCTGTCGGGGAATTACCAATTCCGAGCTGGGTAACCAACCGCACCGGTGTACCTGCCTCGTCATTGAATCTGGCCCCAGGCGATCTCCACGAAGTGCTAGCGAAGTGCCCGAATGGAGTTGGAGCGGGCCCCTCTGGCACTTGTTTCGAGCACTTGAAGGACCCGGCCCACAGCAGCGAGCGAGTCCTACTGCTCCTCACAGTTCACAGACAGTTACTTAACAGCCAGCTACTTAACAGTTCACAGACAAGGGAGATATGCGACGTGCTCCTCCCGTCACAGCTGATAGCACTCGAGAAGCTAGGGGGGGGCGTTCGACCCATCGCTATAGGCGAGGCCTTGCTTAGAGTCGCGGCGAAGGCGGCGCTACGCGAGTTAGCCCCAGCGATCCGTGAATTCTTCCTCCCGGTCCAGTATGGCGTGTCAGTGCCTTGTAGCGCCGAATGCGTCATTCATTCCGTACGGGCCCTGCTCTGAGAACATCACAACTATGTAGCGCTCCAGCTGGACGTAGAAAACGCGTTTAATTCGGCTGAGCGGGAGGCGTTCTTCACGGCGCTAGAAATCTCGGACTTGCATCAGCTGCTGCCGTTCGTAGGGCTGCTGTACGACTCGTCATCGCGCCTTCTAGTTGACCCGGCCCTAGGAGTTGAGCACATCTTGAGCTCCCGCGGCGTGCGTCAGGGCGATCCCCTCGGCCCTCTCCTTTTTGCAGCAGCGATTCAACCGGCCCTAACGTGCGTGGCATCTTCTCATCCAGGGGCGGCAGTCATAGCGTACGCTGACGACATCACAGTGGTAGGGCCGCGGGAGGAGGTGTTCAAGGCCTTCGATGCCATCGTCGAAGAGCTGGCAAAGCGCGGGCTACGGTGCAACGTGGCAAAGTCATCGGCATGGGGACCGCGAGAGGGAAATGAGGGGCAGGTGGGACTGCCACAGGGATTACGGATGAGCACCGAGGGGATCAAGGTGCTTGGCAGCCCCATCGGCACGCCAGAGTACTGAACTGCTGAGATCCGTCAGGCGCTCGCCAAAGCATCAGCACCTGTCCCTCTTATAGCGCAGGTGCACCCACAACACGCCCTGCTACTCCTCTCCCGCAGCATCTCCCGTAGGATCTCCTACCTGCTTCGCACCACACCAAGCATCACATTGGACCGGGAGGAGTGGAGAGGGTGGAGCGAGTCGTTGGTAGGGGCGGCGCTTACAGCCGCCAAGCTATGGATCCCTGCGAGTGAGCTGGAATAGAGCCTCTTGTGGCCTCAAGCGACCCTGCCCGTACGCCTTGGGGGGTTGAGCATCATTGATCCCGTTTCTGAGGCACCGGTGGTGTATATTGCATCCCTGACAGCAGCCCATCACCTGCTGCAGCAGATGAACTTGCGGGAGCAGGAGCTGTTGGCACAGGCCGAGACGCTGCTGCCCAGAGATTGGGTCCCCCCGCCCCCAACGTCAAACTATCTGGTGGCACTAGAGGAGGGGCTGCCGACAGAGGCAAGGACAGCACTACAGACCTACCGGGAAGGCCCCCAGGGGCAGGGTAACCTGCAGCTCCTCTTGTCCAAGCACATCAACTCGGTACGGGCCAGGGAGCTGCTAGGCGACACTATGGTCGACAGACCGGGGGAAGACCAGGGGCACGGGGTACGGCTAGTGATTTTGAAGGGAGTGGGGGCCGGGGATTGGCTACACGCAGTGCCGACGAGATCTGACCTTACATTTGCCCCTGGTCAGTTCTCGTTGGCACTCGGGTTCCGCCTCGGGATGGCCCTACCAGTCACGGTCAAGTGTCCCTGCAAACGTGACAACTCGGAAATCAAGGATACTGGTCTGGCGAATCACCTGCTCCGGTGTGGGGAAGGGGGGGACGTGGTGAGGACGCATAACGCCCTGGTCTACACGGCTTTGAGATTGGTGAGGGAGGCGGGTTTCAACACCTTCCATGAGACATCGGTGTTTTCCCCCCCGGTCCACCGCAAGAGGGCAGACCTGGCATTCCAGGATAGGGAATCAGCGGAGACCTGGGTCACGGATGTGACGGTGACCGACCCAGTGCTGCAAAAGCGGGACCCCAGTGTGCGGAAGCCACCGGGGTGGGCTGCCAAGGAAGCTTCCGAGAAGAAGCACCGCCTGTATGACGGCCGCCCTGACTATGTGGGGTGTTTCGGCCTAGCAGCCGAGACCTACGGGGCGCTGGCGACCGATACTGTGCAGTTTCTTAGGCTGCTAGCTGTGGCCACAGCGAGGAAGAAATTCAGGCAGGGGCCGCTCACCACCACCGCCTCTCGCCTCAATGCTCACTACCGCCAACGCTGGTCAGTCATGCTGCAGCGATCCCAGGCGATCTCGTTCCTTAACAAGAGCAACATGGCAGCTGAGGTTGCCTTCCCCCAAGCACCTGCGGACTCCTGGGAGCCGAGCCTAGGGGACCTCTGGCAGGTGCTTGATGATGACCTTGCAGGAGTGTAAGCGTATCCGGGGGTGAACCAGGGATGTAGGGTTGACCAGGAGGTTGTGAGGACCTAGGCAACTCAATTGGTAGCGCCAGGCCTGCCATGGTAGTGGCCACTTGGTGAACTTCCTTAGCATCTCAATGCTGGTCTTGTTTACATGCTGGTTTATCTGCCCTACATGTTGCCTGCCTAGGTTAGCCTATCGGCCAGTGTCATATCCTGCATGCCTGTACCCTTTCACCGAGAGAGAGAGAGAGAGAGAGAGAGAGAGAGAGAGAGAGAGAGAGAGAGAGAGAGAGAGAGAGAGAGAGAGAGAGAGAGAGAGAGAGAGAGAGAGGGAGAGAGAGAGAGGCCCTAGGAGCTAGTCCTTAGCCTCTCCAGCACTATTCAGCCTAGTATATAGTGCTCCTCTGCAGCTAGTTCTCTTCATTGTTCGGTTTTCTTCTCAGTTGTTTCTCCTAACCGAGCGGCTCAGAGAGAGAGAGAGAGAGAGAGAGAGAGGCCCTAGGAGCTAGTCCTTAGCCTCTCCAGCACTATTCAGCCTAGTATATAGTGCTCCTCTGCAGCTAGTTCTCTTCATTGTTCGGTTTTCTTCTCAGTTGTTTCTCCTAACCGAGCGGCTCGCGCCGGCCGCCTTCGGCGGCCGACGCTCGACAGCGCGGCCTTCGACCGCGCGTGAGGGAACGACAAGCACACAACACACAGAGTTACTAACAAGAGGCATACAAACATGTCAAGCCGTACAGCGGCCTAGCCGCGCAAACCACTAATGGCAGAGCCGGAGCCCGCGCCTACAAGCGGTGAGCTCCAAGGGCATGGAGAATGCCCGTCAGGGAGCGCCACAGCTCCCGGACCACAATTGTGCTTGCGCCGATCGCCGCGGCTCCAGATCCAGCGCGCAAGTGCCGCTTCAAGCTCCGGACAGCCTCACCAAGCTGTCCCGCGGCAGCAGCGCCTCCCTCTGCGGGCGCAGCCAGCACGGGCGCCAGCAGCTCCGCGAGCTGGTCAGCCGCGTCGAGGCATGGGTCACGCAGGTGGCTGCGAAAGGACTCGGGCGGGACAGCAGGGAGAGACGAGTGCGCAAGCACTTGAATCAGAAGCAAAGCATGCAGGCTCTCCGCGAGACGGTGAAGCTGACCAAGCGTGGTCTCAGGAACGCGCGTCTGCGGAGGCAGCAGAGCCGCCGCCAGGAACCGGAGAGACGCATCAGCAGCGTTCGGAGCCGCATCCGCGCCACTACCCGCCGCCACGAACTCTACCCCCGCGACAGGCGGAACAGGTGGCAGATGAAGGCGGGAGCCAGTCGCCGGCGTCGCAACAGAAGGATAAGGAACGGACGGGGCAGGGACATGAGGAAGAGGAGCAACAGCCGGCGGAGGGGCTACATGATGCACAGGCGAACGAGGAGCAACGGGCTCTGGAGCAGCCGGCCGCGAATTGCTCTGGCCCGGCGCTGCCCTCCCTTGACGTACGGCACGCGACACCTCCCGAGACACCTCGCGCTGGAGGTCCGCCAGCGTCACTGGCGGCCGATACGACCCGCCTCCACCGCGCCCCGTGGGGCCCCGCCATCCCCGACTGCCACCCGAGTGCGTTGGCCACTGGGCCTGCTGCTGGTAGCGCCGGGGGGAGTTCCGCCGGCGCCGAGACGTCTCGCGCTCCTGCGGTGGCGCGGGAGAATGGGGCCGGGACAAGCGGCGGTCAGGCGACGGGGGACGAGACGGCGGAACAACCGGAGCCGCAGGCGGTGGAACGGGAGGAGACTGATCCGCGCTCGGAAGAGCAACCACCGAGGGCGGGCCGCCAGTGGTGGCGGACACCGCAGGCGACGAAGAAGCAGACGCCAGCATCGGCACGCCGGGGACAGCACCGGCAGGTGCAGCTGGAACGCCAGGCCCTGGGACAGGATGAGCGGCGACCCCCCCGGCAGGAGCAGATGCCGCCAGCGGCACGGCAGGAACAGGGAGAACAGGCGGAGAGGGGGCGACAGGCGGAGCGGGAGGAGCAACCATCGGCGCAGACGGCTCAACCCCGTTCACGACGAGAGGACGTGCGGATACGAGGGGAGGAGTCTTTTCAGCGGCTACTAGGCCGGGCGGCAGAACAGACAGTGGCGGGGAACCCGTCGCCTCGGTCCTCGCTCCTGAGGCAGACGACGGCCTTTCGAGTACAACCGACGCGGCGCCAACGCGCATTGGCGAATAATCAGTCACACCAGCAATCACCATCGCGAGGACAGGAAGCGCGAGGCGATGGGCGGGCAGCAGGTAGCGGTCGAGGAGGTGGGCCAGAAAATGGCTATCAGAGGGAGGCCAGAAGGGCTTTAACTAGGCTACTTAATGACGAAGAAGAAAATGACCCCTCTTATAGAGAAGAGCCAACCCCATCCAGTACGGAGGAAGGGTCAGAAGCAGAGGAAGGGGCAGAGGAGAATGGGAGAAGGACAGGAGCGAGAACAAGGCGGTCCCGAGGAGAGGGAACGACCACCGCGGCTGGACCGTCCGATGGCAATCGTACGGGCGAAATTCCAACCGCACCATCACAAGCAAGGCCGGGCCGCACCGGGAGAAATCGGGCCGCGACGGCAGGGGCATCGGTGCGAGACAATCCCAATCCCCCGCGCTATTTTACGCCAGAGGAGTTGGCGACGCGAGCAGATCTGTTCGCTGGCGTCGAGAACTGGGATATCCCAGCCCTCTGCGATAGTCGACAACCATCCCTGGCAAGGCGGTTACCGCCCAATTTGTGCCAGTTGTTTTCGCTGGCGCTGCTAACCCCGTTACTCAACCTGTCACGAAACCCGGAAGGAGAGGCAGGTTGGCGCCTACTCCTATTTCTGCCACGTCTGACGCTTCGCCAGACCTCGCCACGGAAACCAAACTGGCCCCAGATCAAGGCCCGGCTCTGAGCCTTCCAACGTGGCGAGTGGGGTCAACTGTACCAGGATGCGATCGAAGCAGTCAACACTCCAACGCCTCCACGTCACATGCCCGACGCAACCGGGGTCATCAGCAGGGCCGAGGGCCTGGCGAAACGGGGTAGCCTACGACGCGCTGTGCTGGCGTTGGAGTCAACGCCAGTCTGCACCCCAACTCCGGAAATTCTGGAGGAGCTTCGACAGAAACACCCGCCAGCCGAAGCAGGGGAGACGACGTGGCCACCCTCGCCTGAGTCAAAATTGTTCATCACCCAGGCTGACTTCGCCAAACTGTTGGGAAGGTGTGAAAATGGGGTCGGTGCTGGGCCATCGGGAACGACATTCGAACACATGCGCGACGCGGCAATCACGAATAGACGAGTTAGCACCCATCTGCACGCCTTGGTTAACACCATTTTGGGGGGCAACCTTCCAGCACCGGTGTCGGACCTACTGACAGCTTCACGGCTCATTGCCCTGGCCAAACCCGGTGGGGGGGCTCGACCAATCGCCATTGGCGAATGCATCACGCGGCTGACTGCCAAAGCAGCCCTCGCAGCCATGGGAGAGGCCGCGCGGGCCTTTTTCCTACCTCTACAGTATGGCGTAGCCGTGCCTGGAGGAGCCGAGGCAGTCACCCACGTGGCACGGGCGTATCTGGACAAGCTTCCCAACAGCCTCGTGCTGCAAACCGACATCTCAAATGCATTCAACAGTATTTCACGGCAAGCCATCGCGACAGCGTTACAAGGACCAGAATTGTCGCCACTACTGCCGCTGGTGAAACTGACATACGGTAACGCGTCGAAATTATTCGTCGACGCGAATTTTGGATCGGACCCACTGATCAGCGAACGGGGCGTGCGCCAAGGGGACCCACTTGGCCCACTACTGTTTGCGGCAGGTATGCACACTACACTCCGCGACACTGCTGCAGCACACCCCCAGGTGCTGTGTCTGGCATACGCCGACGACGTCACATTCCTGGGGGAGGCGACGGCTACTGTAGCAGCCTTCAACCATTTCACCGAGCAGCTGGCACACCTGGGGTTACGGCATAATGCGCAGAAATGCGCAGCTTGGAGCACACAAGGAGCAGTAAAGGATCCGCTGCCGCACGACGTACCATTCTCCCAGGATGGTGTTCGCTTGCTCGGAAGCTTTGTGGGGCCTG